GTCTTTAGTTTTAAAGCTCTTTACTTCGGTTTTTGCTCCGTTTTTACTTATAATGCTTATTAGGGTAAATTTGGATTTGATTGATGTTGGAGGAAATGCTTATGCTTGATTGCTTGCTTGAGTAGATAGAGTCGTTAATTGCTCGTTGATCTCGGTTAGACGACTAGGGTTAGCAATCTAATGCTCGTAGCTCTTTTATTCCGTATGTCGATTGATTATCATCCCGTTATGGTTATGGCATGAGACTTCGGTGATCTAGTTTGCTAATTGCTCGTCATTCGATCTTGCTTTTAATTAATTGCTCGTTTTTTTTAAGTGCTTGATTAGTGTTAATCAACCATCCAATCAATTGCTTAGAATGTTTAGGATTTTATTTCGATTTTTGTGATTTGGACGATCATTTAGTAGACAAAGCTCCGAATAGCCTTCCTTCGAGATCGACCCGAGTCGGGTAACTCGGTTATCCCTTGCCCATCAAATCTATACTAAACAAACAGCTGTAAAGAAACACAGACACCTCACTGAAATGGGACTTTCTTTACTTAATCAAGCTTCTTTGCTCTTAAAATTTTGGGATGATGCCTTTTCAACCTCATGTTACATCATAATCAGATTGCCAACCAAGTCCTTGGAATTCAAGACCCTTTTGGAAGTCCTCTACAATCATCAACCTGATTTCAGCAGATTTAAAACCTTTGGATGTCTTGCTTTTCCATTATTTAGACCCTTTAATAAACACAAACTTGAGCCTAGGTCCATTGGTGGAACTTTTATAGGCTTTAGCAACTCTCACAAAGGCTATTAAATCCTATTACCCTCTAGTAAAGTCATTGTGTCAAGGCATGTTTTGTTTGATGAAAATGTCTATCCTTATACCAAAAACACCAATGTTAAACATGTCAAACCATATATCTTTCGACCTCAATACATTAATAACCCTTCTATTGACCAAAACAAAGACTTTCCTTCACACACAGAAAATCTTTCACAAAGTCTTACACCAGAAGCCACAAACTCACCAAACAAGTCACCTCTAAACCACACTTTGCATAGTCCCAGGTATGTTAACTCTCAGTTAAGTCATAGTATAATTCCTTTAGTTGTAGATTTACCTATTGAGACGAATAATGCTCCAAAACCAAGCTCATCTTCAGCAAGATCATTGAGAGTGTCTAACAGGCATCATATGGTTACAAGAGCTAAAGCTGGGGTTTTCAAACCCAGGGCTCTTGTGTTGATATTCAAGAAAGGGAACTAATTAACTTGATGAAGCTTTACTTTCAGCTTATTGGAAGAATGCCATGACATCAGAGTTGAAGGCACTACTTGACAATAATACTTGGGTTCTCACAGATCCACCTATCAAAAAGAATATTGTGGGGGGTACAGATGGATTTTCAAACTTAAAAGGAACTCTGATGGAACTATTTCAAGATATAAATCCAGACTTGTTGCCCAAGGATACTCACAAGCTGTTGGGTTTGACTTTAGAGAAACCTTTAGTCCAGTGCAGAAGCACTCCACAATCAGGATCATCCTTACTCTTGCAGTCTACTATGATTAGACAGTGAGGCATTTGGACATAAACAATGCTTTTTTTAATGGGGAACTTTCTGAAGAGATATATATGATGCAACCTCTTGGTTTCTGTAACAAGACATATCCCAAGAAAGTGAGCAAGTTTAAGAAGGCCATTTATGTTTTAAAACAAGCTTCAACAGCTTGGTTCCTTAAAGTGAAGGACACTCTCAACAGGATGAACTTCAGTAGCTCTCAAGCTGACAATTCCATGTTCTAAAGTCTTCTCAGTCAATAGTGTTGATTTTGATTTATGTGGATGATATACTAGTTACATGGAGCAACGCCCAAGAGATTGAACAAGTTATCTCTCAACTCAGTGCAAGTTTCTCCTTGAAGAATCTAGGTGAGATTCATCATTTCTTGGGTATGAAAGTGCATAGAACTGAGAAAGGGATGTTTTTATCTCAAGAAAGGTATGCTCAAGACCTTCTGTCCAGAATCTCTATGTACAATGCAAAGAGTTCCAAAACACCAATGTCCACAAGTTGCATTCTCAAGAAAAATCAATATGATGTTAGTGTGGATGCCACAATGTACAGAAGAATGGTGGGAGGATTGCAGTACCTCACTATCACCAGACCTAAAATAGCTTTCTCTCTCAACAAAGTGAGCCAATATATGTCTAATCCTAATGATGAACATTGGAAGGCGATAAAATAAAGGATTATAAAGTATGTGGCAGGCAGTACATCTCTTGGTTTGATAATTCCTAAGACAGATAATCTCAACATAGTTGGGTTTTTTTATTCAGATTGGGTAGTTGACTTGGATGACAGGAGATCTACAAGTGGTTTTTGTGTTTATGTTGGAGGAAGTTTGGTGTCTTGGAGTTCTAAAAAGCAAAGCTCAGTTTCAAGGTCTAGTGCAGAAGCTGAGTACAAGAGTCTTGCTCTTATAACTTCAGAAATTTTCTGGATAAAGGGTTTGTTTAATGAGCTTCATGTTTCAGAACAAGAGAGACTGGTTGTGTGGATACATAACCTCAGTGCTATTGCTATGGCCTATAATCCAGTGTTGCATGGGAGAACTAAGCATGTTGAATTGTATTATCACTTTGGGAGAGAGAAGGTTGCAGCTAAAGACCTTGAGGTAAGACATGTTCCTACTCAATTTCAAATAGCTGATGTTTTGACAAAGGCGCTGAATGAGCAATACTTCACCAAGTTGATAGAGAAGTTGAATGTGGTTGCTCAACCTTGCTTGAATTGCGGGGGAGTGTTAGAAATAACAGCATCATCATGCAGTAAGAAAAAGATTTTACAACACAAAATGAAAATAACTTACCTTTGCATGGAAGAGACACGAGCACTGCATGTGACCATCTTTTTGTCCTCTTGCATGATTTGAATGAGGAGATTACAAGTGACAGCTACACTACTGCACCAAGCAAAGCTGCAGGATCATCATCTGAGTTACCACATGATCATGACAATTGTCCCTATTCTATTGTATTCACTACTTGATATAAATATCTCATAGATGCTAGGTTTTGTGTAATTTTTGTATTCTGAATTATTGTGCCGCAATGAGCATTGATGAAATGAAAAACTCTTGCAGCTCAACTCGCTTTCTTCTTTCTGCTATTTTCAGTTTACCATGATTTTCAACATCCACAGTGATACTCTAACAATTGTTTATTTAATTAATAAAATTTTCGTTTAATTATTTATAGCATGGGGAAGGTCTATACCTTATGCATATAATTTGATGTGTCCATCTCCAACAGTTGCAATAACATGCACAATTATTTTAGTTCAAAAATTGTCAGATATTTTAGTAGTTCATATGTTTCAGAAAGTTGATAGATCCAAAGCTTTGTTTGTTGCATTTAAAATTCTTGCCATGTCTCTCTTTATTCCATAACCTTTCGTCTTTCTAATGTTCCAAAATGAACATGTGGGCACATGTTTTTTAGGCAAAGTTTTTAACACAATCCACTCGTTTTCCCACCATTTTAAGTTACAAAACCACACTTCATATCAACCATTAGAATGAATAATTATATTTCACGCTAAATGAGATATGAAAAATAAATAAACATAAAAAATTATATTGTAAAAACTGTTTGTTCAAGTTATTTATCAATATTATATTTTTCGAGAGTCGAGACGACCCGAGAAGACCTATCGAATGCCTATATCATCACGAGGAAGGGCCCAGAAATGCGTGCGAGTTCGTATGGGGAAGCGCACGGGTCATTAGGACCAAGACCCGCGCGGCAGCACCAGGCCTCGCAGAGACACAGCGAGACCGCGCAGGCCACGCAGAGATCCTGCGCGACCACGGACGACCGCGCGTACAGGCAGCCGCACATGCATGAGATAGCGGGTCCGTGCCCGGGCGAAGCAGACAGCGGTCACCCACGCGACTGCGACGCGTCCGCACGAGAATAGGCGCGAACGAGGACAGAGCGCACGGACAACGCCTAGGAGACCCGGGTCGCATTGGCAATGCCAAGCGGACCCGAGAAATCCACACATGGCGTGTCTTGCAAGCATGACGGCATGTCTCGGGGGCCAAGTCATGCCAATTCTTCTAGATAACATATCTATGTTATTAGTAAATTATTCCTGTTAGGTTTAGATATTTTAAAATAACTGGCATGTGCCAACTTAATTATTTGGTAATTATTAGGATTCTAGATATATTATTTCTTTAGGCTTAGAATTCTAGTTCTCATATGATTAGTACTTTATTCTCTATAGGCTAGTATTTTCTCTCTTATATATATATCCTATGTATTCATCTCAATTTCCATGTCTTGAATTGATGGAAAACCGACCATTGGTCACCAATTTCTTGTGTTAGAATTCCAAGAGTTTTATAGACGAAATCCTTATGTCGAAAATGACGTTTCATTGCATATTTTGTCATACGCTCGAGTTTGGCAAGGATATCACGTTCGAGTTGTCTCACCTATCGTTGAGAAAGAGGTGTCAAGCATTCTTTGAAGCAACCCATCGTCGAGAAAGAAGTGTACTAGCATCCTTTGAAGCAAATCCAAGTATCGAGATACACCGTCTTCATCAAACCGACAGTGAAGAGGCACGCGCTCCCTAGGTGACATAAGCTTGATTTGGGAGAAACTGACCGAGAAAAGAGAACAGAGAAAAATGTCCAAAAGAGCTAAAAACATTACACTTCAATATATCGATTTTCCTTTTCACTTCCGTCACGAGCGACCGAATTTGGTCTTACAGCTACCCTTCCAAAAAAAAGTGGGAAACCAGTTCTCCGAAAGAAAAAAAGCATGGAAACGTGGGTTGTAAAGCCTGTTTCCACATTACTTGAAAAAGCCGCTGTTAATAATAACATGGAACAGTTGAGTATTTAAACGAAGGGATCTGAAAAAAGAGAAACCCCAACAAACAGCTTTTTCAGTCTTCTCTAAAGTCACTTTATTGTCATTTGCTTAATTAATGGGCGCACTTTCGCCGGCGATCACGCCGGTCCTGGTTCCGCCTCCGAGGACTGCTCGCTCCGATCGTGCTAAGCTCTCTGTTCTGTGCAACGAGAGCCCGAATTCGAAGCGGATCCGGGTCGGGAGGAGAATCGAGGTGAGAGCGCCAGCGGGAAAGCAGGCGAGCATTGATTTCAGCGATCCCGATTGGAAGTCAAAGTTCCAGAATGACTTCGAGGCCCGCTTTCGCATCCCGCACATCACGGATGTGCTTCACGACGCCGTTTCGTACCCATCCACTTTCTGCCTCAAAATGAGGTTATTGCTCAAACTTCAGTTACGATGTTTAGGTTAAAGATACGATTTTTTGGGGGGGCTTATGGTTCTCTTATGCTCTGTGTACGCTGGAGTGAGCTTTCAATGGTCTTTCCTTCCTTTGTGTGGCTTTATGAGTTATTGTGGATTGCAATGGAGTGAGAGCTTTCCATTTTTGTAATTCATACATGAAAGATGATCCCTGTTTGTCTGGACTCTGGAGTGTTGTTGTGTTGGTTTATACTTTTATTATTGTCCGAAATCGATTGGCACTGAAAGTTTTTACATATAAGCCTAAAAAGACTAATTTGAGATTCTTTTAAAGGACTCCTGTTAGTGCGGAGTTTGCGGAAGGTTATCCATCAGATGAGGAATGGCACGGCTACATTAACAACAATGATAGAGTACTGCTTAAGGTATCGTTGGTTTACTTCTTTGAATTCCGAGTGCAATGTAATTTTGTAGCCGTCGGAAAGTTGTAGTTAGATATATTGTTCGGTGGCTGACGATGAAGTTCTCTGAAGTTCTTCTAGTACATAATTCACTGAATAGGTCAATAATTGTCGTCTTTTTCTAAGTTTGCTTCTAGCACAAAATCAAGGACACCTAATTAACCCCCTCATGAGTAGATATCCTTGCCGCGTGTATCAAGAAAATCAGTTTCACAGTTTGTGTTATATGATAGCCTCACTTTATTAATGGAGGTCGTGGTTTTCATTTACGTCCATCACTTATAGTTAAATGATGTTGTTTCTATCGTGCAGACTTAACTGCTAGTGGGGAGACTGTACTTGTAGAAGCTATGGAAGTTTGAAAAAAAAAATAAAAAAAAATCTAACTCTCTCTCTCTCTCTCTCTCTCTCTCTCTCTCTCTCTCACGCACACACACACACACAACCCACACGATACACGTACAGAGATATGCAACATTAGTCCGTGGTGACTGTATTTATTTCATTAATTTGATCAGACATTGATCAAGTTGAAATTAGTTTTGTGTTCATTTAGATTATGCAAGTCTATAGTTTCCTAGAGCAGTAAGATTGATGACATTAACTTAGCACGGGAAACATAGTTTCACGCATCTCTGTAGGCTTCTAAATAAATAATTGGTCCTATATGCATTAGTCATTTATTATGTCCTAAATTACTATTGCATGTTTAAGAAGAATACATAGCTGTAAGGACCAGAGACTCTGGTTTCTATTGAATGAGAACTGGGTTCTGTTTTTGTTGGATGTGTTTGAAATAGTTCCTTTTTTTTTTTTTCAATTGTTTCAGGTGATACGTTATTCCTCCCCTACATCTGCAGGTGCTGAATGTATTGATCCAGATTGTACATGGGTCGAGCAATGGTAAATGTTTCTGATTATTTTGACTTTTGAGGCTGATAAATATAAGATCATTTTAAGAGCTAAGACTTTTTGTATCATTTTGCTTTGGTATTGAAACTTGGAACTTCCCTTCATACGGTGGGGCAACTGGACAAGGATCAATGGATACAGAACCACACGAAGACACTTTTAATGCTAAAAAGCCTTATGAGTTTCTTTCCATCATTGTACTTTAACTTTATATTTTCTATATCACAGTTCCAGTGATATTTACATCAAGCTTTTATTCTAATGCCTCATATTACATTTTTCACCATATGATAATTGGTACTTCAATTCACCATGTTACTTCTGACCCCAGGGTCCACCGTGCTGGGCCCCGAGAAAAAATATACTTCAAACCAGAAGATGTAAAAGCAGCCATTGTCACTTGTGGCGGCCTTTGTCCTGGTCTCAATGATGTCATTAGACAGGTACTTCCCTACACTAACAAGTGGATTGTTACGTTTACATCTAAATGCTTTCCATTTTTCTAGTTGAAACCAGAAACCCATCTACCGGAAGCACATATGTATATTTGTTTCATTTTATTCATGTATAAGCATGTTCTTGTTCTGTAGGATTTGGTTTTATATTAGTTCTTTAGAGGCCAGAGATATCATTTTTGTGGCCTTTGGGAATTTATGTTTGTTTTAGCTATCTATTTGGATTTGGAGCCTCAAAGCTGTTCGGGTTTTGAATCTTGACTTCTATGTGTCTTCATGATCACTGCAGATAGTAATCACCCTTGAGATATATGGCGTGAAAAAGATTGTTGGAATCCCTTTTGGTTATCGTGGGTTTTCTGACAGTAATTTGGCTGAGATGCCCGTGAGTATCCTGATCCATCTTGTTAGGGTTATATTGTTCTTATTTATCATTGATCTCTATTTTTATGAAAAAAAAATCCCTTGCTAATACCAGAATAATTTTCTTTTATCTGGAATTTGGTCTTCGGCTATGGATATCACGAATAAGCATTATAATGACAATATATGCAAATTTCTGCCTGCAAGAAAATTTTTTCTTTTGCCTGAAAATTATTTAGACACCTGCCCCTCGTGAATGTTTAATCAAGCTCTATTTGCGTTTCTTATGTCATTTTTAGCTGTCAAGGAAAGTTGTTCAAAACGTCCATCTATCTGGAGGAAGCTTGCTGGGAGTCTCCCGTGGGGGACCCTCAGTTAGCGACATCGTTGACAGTTTGGAGGTATGTTCCTCACTTATGGGCTTCAATATCTTATGTGTGTTAGAAGCTAGGGTTGTTTGATGCTAATTCAAGAAAATTTTGGTACAGGAAAGAGAGATAAATATGCTCTTCGTCCTGGGTGGAAATGGTACACATGCTGGTGCCAATGCCATACATGATGAGGTTTTTGGATTACTACTATTATTATGAATTTTGGTAGACATCATGTGCATTTTTCTTGTGTAATTCGAATACTGTATAAGAAATGAAAGAAATTCGACGTTATCTTGTTCAAAGAATTTATACTAACTTTTCTCCAACTTATTGCAAGGTTCCCTTGGGATTTACATGTTGTGCAACTTCTATGACTAAACTAGACTGGAAAAATGTTACCATTATTTATCATTGGACAAAGAAACTTAAAAAACTGGCATACACATCTTTGTCTGAGTTAGTTTTGTCATTTGTCTCTGATTTATCTCACATGTGTGTCTGTGATAGCACTGTTTACCTCAAATTTTTGGAGGTATTTATGTTTTCTGCTATTCAACATCCAGTGCCGCAAAAGACGACTGAAGATAGCTGTAGTTGGTGTGCCCAAAACCATTGACAATGATATCTTGCTTATGGATAAAACATTTGGCTTTGATACGGCTGTCGAGGAGTCCCAGAGAGCAATTAATTCTGCATATATCGAGGTCCGGACTCAAAATTATATCATCAGTAAGGATTTGGATTCATTTTTTAGAACAACCTTATTTTCTTTTCTGTGAAATAATACAACAGGCACACAGTGCTTATCATGGAATCGGGATCGTGAAGTTAATGGGCCGTAGTAGTGGGTTTATAGCCATGCAGGCATCTCTTGCTAGTGGACAAATTGATATATGCTTGATTCCAGAGGTACTGCCTTTTTTT